CAACAACAAAAAATTAAATCAGCCAGGGTCTGGGCATGGTGGCTCAAGCCTGTAATCCCAGCACTTTGGGAGGCTGAGGGGCAGCAACAGAGGCGCCAGAGTTCGAGACCGGCCTGGCCAGCATGGCTAAACCCTCTCTGTACTAAAAAAATACAAAAATTAGCCATGGTGGTGGTGCCTAGTAGTCCCAGCTACCAGGAGGCTGAGGTGAGAATCAGCTGAACCCTGGAGATGGAGGTTGCAGTGAGCCAAGATCACACCATGGCACTCCAGCCTGGGCAGCAGAGCTTGAGACTCTGTCTCAAACAAAACCAAACGAGAATTCCCAGGTGGATGCTGGGCAAGTTTTTCTGAGCACCTTGAGACTGAGAGCAGGAGAAAATGTTGCCAAGTACATCTGTGAGAGCAGTGGGAGGGAGGCAAGAATGGGAGTATGTGACGCTGGCTGCGGCGCATGGCACCTGCAGTTGGAGGTGATGCAGAACTGGTGGGATGGGTGTCAGCTGGCTGGCTGCATGTGGGCTAAACGCAGGTGAGGCAGCAAGGCGGGCGAGCGACGGAGTGAGCAGGGGACAGAGCAGGGTCGATACAGGCAGGAAACAGATTCTGTCTATTGTCCATGATTCCTTGAACACAGCACAGTGTCTCAGCAGAAGAGGACGGGGAGTCCCGGTTCCACCCCTAGTTCTTCTCCTCTTGTTAGCTGGGGGAGATCATGTGATCGTGCCTCTCTCTAAGCTTCTCGGGGCTGTCTCATCTATGAACAGTAATAATCATCTTTAAGAAACAAAGAGCTAATAGGTGTGGCTCACTCCTGTAATTCCAAAGACTTTGGGAGGCCAAGGATCACCCAAGATCAAGAGTTCGACACCAGCCTGGCCAACATAGTACAATCCTGTCTCTACCAAAAATGCAAAAATTAGCTGAACATGGGGGTATAACAATCCAAAGGCATAAAGGCTGAGGCAGGAGAATCACTGAACCCAGGAGGCAGAGGCAGTGAGCTGAGATTGTGCCACTGCACTCAGCCCGGGGTGACAGAGTGACTCTAAAGAGAAAGAGAGAAGGGGCTAGTTAGGAGGGAGGAAGAAGGAAATATAAGAAAGGAGAAGAGAGGAAGGAAAGAGACAGAAGAAGGGAAAGGAAAGGAAGGAAGAAAGAAAGTTTTGGATGTATTGTTTGGGGAAGTCTTTCACAGTCTGTTATAAGAAAGTAAGTCATAAAATGTAATGGTATATACACTAAGCTATCTTTGTGTTAAAAAAAAAAAAAAAAAAAAGGAGTAAATGCTGTTTGGCTATTCAAAAACCTATCTAGATTTCACAAGAATTACATCAGCAACTAGCAGGGAAGATGACAGTGTGACTGAGGTCAGACACGGCTAAGGGAACTTTGATGTTCTCCCTGCATAACTCTAATGGAAATTGAACTGTTTAAATTACCCTCCGGAAAACAAATCTACTGACAGCAAAACAAGTGATTCTGTTTCTGGTGGTCATTGTAAGGATTAAAGTAGGAAAGAACTACTCAAGGCTCTGCAGCCAGCCTCCAGCAGGAGCACGCTGGGAGTTGACACTGATCTGTCCCTCACTGCAGCCAGAGAACACGCACCAGGAGGCTGCGTTGCAGGGTTAGAAAGAACCTGTTCTATCATGGGTTTGCTTGTGATTTGGGATGGAGGCTTAAGAAAGCAGAGATTCACCAAGATTGATGTCGGCCGGGCGTGGTGTACTACGCTTGTCATCCCAGGCACTTTGGGAGGCCGAGGCGGCAGATCACTCTGAGGTCAGGAGTTTGAGACCAGCCTGGCCAACATGGCAAACCCCATTTCTACTAAAGCCTCACTAAAATTAGCCAGGCGTGGTGATGCACGCCTGTAATCCCAGGTGCTTGGGAGGCTGAGGCAGAAGAACTACTGGCAGGAGGTTGCAGTGAGCCGAGATCTCACCACTGCCGCCCAGCCTGGGCACAGAGCGAAGCTCCATCCAAAAAAAAAAAAAAAAAAGAGATTGGTTGCTGTCAGAAAGAGGGCGATGAGGACATTCTATGTGTGGGTCTTCAACAAATCTTGTCTATAGGAAGACAGACTTAGAACAAGAACATTTAATCAAAGAAGTAGCAATCAGTCACTTAGCTCATGATGTGAGGAGGGTGTTGGGTTTTGTGTTCAGCTGGGCGCGCAGGGGAACTTGTTTTTGCCTGTACACACTTGAAGTCACTGTCCTTTATCCTCACGGTACGAAGATCCTGTATAAGGCTGAGATTGTTAATCTGTGGGAGGATAATGTCTGATAGAGAATAAACTGGCCAGCTCTGAGTGTCACTGCCAGCTTCTTTCTCAGGTAAACAGGCACTGCCTTCTATTTTGTCCTTCACAGAACACAGCAGGCACACTGCACAGCCCTCACACACAATGCGAAAGTAATTTCAGTGCTGTTGGTGGTGGGGGCAGCGCAGTGGTGTCTCTTCATCAGCTGGGATCAGTTGGAAAAGAAGGAAGATTATGGTAAAAATGCTCAAACTGCCAGGCGCGGTGGCTTGTTTTTCTGTAATCCAGCACTTTGGGAGGCCGAGGCGGGCGGATCACCTGAGGCCAGGAGTTCCAGACCAGACCAGCCTGGCCAACATGGTGAAACCCTGTCTCAACTAAAAATACAAAAATTAGCCGGGCTTGGTGGTGGGAGCCTGGGTAATCCCAGCTACTCGGGAGGCTGAGGCAGGAGAATTGCTTGAACCCAGGAGACGGAAGTTGCAATGAACCGAGATGATGCCACTGCACTCCAGCCTGGGCAACAGAGCAAGACTCCATCTCAAAAAATAAATAGTCAAATGCTCATGTTTGTCCAGCGACATGATGGAACATGAGGCTTAACCACAACAACCAAAGGACTTAGTTGTGTTCAGCAATATCTCATAGATGGAATGGCAAAGGCTCACTGGGCCACCGCAGTCTGAGAGAAATAGCCCAGCTCCTGAAATCAGACAGAGCGGAACCTGAGTCCGGGCTGCACCTGGTTTTGGCTATGTGGACAAAACACACATAAAAGTATTTTCTGCTTCATCTAAAACTAGAGAAGATGATAGAGATTAAAGACAATAAGGGTGAGATTATAAAGATGATTGTCACAGAGCAAGAGCTCCGTGACTGACAAAGTAGAAAAGCAACAGCAGCGCCTTCTAATCCTGGGGTTTAACACAAAATATTAGCACCTGTGGTTTTAACTAACATGACAGTCACTCACCAGCCGCACTTGGGGAGGTCTAGGTTAGGGGACAATGACTCCCCAATGAAAGACTGTGGTAGAGGCCTGTTATACCCGCACTACTTCCTAGTTCTGTGGAAAGCTTGAACAAGCAATTTCTTCCTCCAAGCCTCCACTTCAGTACAATGGTAGATCATGACCATACAATGATATTACAAACATATATCATTATACACTTTGGGAGGCCAAGAAAGGCAAGATTGCTTGAGGATGGGAATTCAAGACCAGCCTGGCCAAATACAGTAAGACCCTGTCTCTACAAAAAAATAAAACAATAAAAATAAATTAAAGATGAAAACATGTATTATTGGCCAGGTGTTGTAATTCTGTATTTACGGGCTGTAATTCTAGCCTGTAATTCCAGCATTTGGGGAGGCCAAGGTGGAGGATCACGAGCTCTAGGAGTTAAAGACCAGTCTGGGCAACATGATGAAACCCCATCTCACAAAAAAAATACAAAAATTAGCCGGGTGTGGTGGCACACAACTGTAGTCCTAGCTACTCAGGAGGCTGAGGGAAGAGACTACGAGCTCAGGAGAAGATCAAGGCTGCAGCAAGCTGCGGCTGCAACACTGCATTCTCTGTGCCTGGGCCATAGAGAGACCCTGCTCAAAAATATATATATACACACACATAAATATACACACATATATATACATATATATATAATATAAATACCAACCCATGAATTAGCATCTTTTTATCAAAGGTAAAGAAAGTCAGTCAGGCACAGCAATTTGGGAGGCCGAAAGGCAGCAGATCACTTGGAGGCCAGTGATTCGACCAGCCCGGCCAACATGGCAAAACTCCATCTCTACTACAAATGCAAAATTAGCCGACATGGGTGATTTGTAATCCCAGCATTTGGGAGGCTGAGGAATGAGAAATCGCCGAATCCGGGAGACAGAGGTTGCAGTGAGCCAAGATCACACCAATGCACTCTAGCCTGGGTGACAGAACAAGACTCCATCTCAAAAAATAAATAAAAATAAAGAAAAGTCGTGTTAGACTCTGGGCACACTGCCTATGTGAAAGAAGCTTTCCTGCCCGTGAAGGAGCAGGAAAAAGGAAAGAGAGGAAAGAGAGGAGAGGAGAGGAGAGGAGAGGAGAGGAGAGGAGAGGAGAGGAGAGGAGAAGAGAGGAGGAGTTGGGGGGGGAGGGGGAAGAGGGGGAGGGGGAGAGGGGGGAAAGAGGGGAGTGGGGGAAGGGGAAAGGGGGGGAGGAAGGGGAGGGGAGGGGGAGAAGGCGGAGGAGGGTGGGGAGGGGGAGGAAGGGGGAGGGGAGGGGGAGAAGGCAGAGGGGGATGGGGAGGGAAAGGGGAGGAGGAGGGGAGGAGGAAGGAGAAAGGGAAGTTTATTCCCTTGCACAGAAAACTGGCACTTCTGAGGTCAGATCAACATCTACTGAACACCTGCAGTGCGCCCTGACAAAGACTGACTGTGCAGAACAGTCTGTGAAGTCAGGTTTCTTGAGCTTATGCCTAATTCCTACCAGTCGACCGTAGACTTTCTGGCAAGTTGTCCCTTTATAGCACGTTTTCGTATCTGTCAAACTTGGGAGGTGGGGCTGGGAGGGAAGGGAGTCATAAATCCGCATCTCCCTCCTGAGGCTGTTGTGAAGATGAAATGAAGGCGGCAACAGGAACCTGGTGATGGCCAAGTCAGCCTGAGTCACTGTTATCAGATAGAGGCTCTGTGGGAGGTGTTGATACAACAGACATTTAAATGCCCTAAAATAGGCTCAAGGATGATGAAAGAGCCCAATTTTCTAGAAGAAAAAGAAAAAAAAAAAACACCACTGAGGCTTCTGGGAAAATGCAGTCTCATGCAGTGAATCGACACGTCGTTTTCCTGAAACGTGGACATGGGGGTGAAAGCTAGAGGCTTCTCTCTGACCTGGAGAATTGCAGAATTTCAACAAATAGGCGGACGTTGACTAACATTGATAGAGTGAGTTTACCGTCACCTAACCCTAGAAAAGCTTTGCAGGAGCCAGGCGTGACAGCACGTGCCTGTGCTCGGAGCTACTCACGAGGCTGCAGCTGGCAGATCTCTTGAGCCCAAGAGGTCAAGATCAGCCTGGGCAACGTAGCAAAACCCCATATCTACCAAATAAAAATACAAAAATTAGCTGCACGTGATGGCTCATGCCTGTCCGTCCTAGAGGGGACAATGGTTTGAGCCCAGGCGGTCGAGGCTGCAGTGAGCCATCGTCGTACCACTGCACTCCAGTGTGGGCAACAGGGCGAGACTCTGTCCCTCTCAATAAATTAAATAAATAAGCAAATGTTTCAAAAATGAAAAGAAAACTTTTGGAATGCCCAGAGTTCCTTGTCTGAATAAATGGGCTTTCAGACCGGGTGCAGTGGCTCACGCTTGTAATCCCAGCACTTTGGGAGGCGGAGGCAGGAGGATCACTTGAGGCTGGGAGTTCGAGACCAGCCTGGCCAAGATGGTAAAACCCCATCTTTACTAAAAATACAAATATTAGCCGGGTTTGGTGGTCAGCACCCATAATCCCAGCTACTCGGGAGGCTGAGGCACAAAAATCACTGGAACCTAGGAGGCGGAGGTTGCAGTGAGCCGAGATCCATCTCAAAAAAATAAAATAAAATAAAATAAATAAATGGGCTTTCGTGAGTAGATGCACAGGCTCCCAATTAGAAGTGTTCGTGGCTATGATCCCGTAGGTGTTTTACAACAGAACAGTTGGCTGCTTGAATGTTGAGGTACTTTCACAGCCATTACTCTGGGAATAGAGTAACTTAGGAGGTGATCTAAATGTTACCCTTTCTTTTCTCTTTCAGAACTGATTGCACATTTGCACCCTCCGACTCAAGGTAGGGAGACCATCTCTTAATTTGTTCACGTCTCACATGCTCACAATAAGCAATATTATATTCCTGGATTCCCTTGCCCTTTCTTGCCATCTCACCCTTTCCTCTGCTGTTCTTGTGCCGTGAAGGGCCCTCCATTGCCAGGTATGGGGACTCACGCCTGTAATTCCAGTACTTTGGGAGAACAAAGCGGGAGAATCACTTGAGCCCAAGAGTTCAAGACCAGCCTGGGCAACATAGCAAGGCCCTATCTCTACTAAAAACACAAAAACTACCGAGGTGTGGTGGTGCGAACCTGTAATCCCAGCTACTCGGGAGGCTGAGGTGAGAGGATCACTCAAGCCCAGGAGATTGAGGCTGCAGTGAGCCGTGATCATGCCTCTGCACTCCAGCCAGGGCAACAGAGTGAGATCCTGTCTCAAAAAAAAAAAAAAAAAAAAAAAGGCTGTCCGTAGTCACAGCAGCCAAACCATGTTTCAAGATCCAGTTTAGTTCGCTATTCAAGATTTCCTCCCTTGCCCCTCCAAAAACTGCGCCTTCCTCCATTGTAACTAACATCAGCATTTGTGCCGCAACTTTTTGTTTGTTCATTATTTTATTTTATTTTTAATTAACAAATAATAATCGTATATATTTGTGGGGTAGAATTGGATATTGTGATGTATTTTTACACTGAGGAATGGTTAAATCACCTCACCTCACATACTTATTTTTGTTAAATAAGTTATATAAGTTATTAATAAGTTATTTTGTTAAATAAGTTAAATAAGTTTTGTTAAATAAGTTATTTTTAAATAACTTAAGTTTTGTTAAGTAAGTTATTTTGTTAAATAAGTTACAAACTTATTTTGTTAAATAAGTTAAATCACCTCACCTCACATACTTATTTTTGTTAAATGGTTAAATCCATCACCTCACATACTTATTTTTTTACGGTCAGAACACTTAAAATTTAATTTTTCGGCCGGGCACAGTGGCTCACGCCTGTAATTCCAGCACTTTGGAAGGCCGAGGTGGGCAGATCATGAGGTCAGGAGTTCGAGAGCAGACTGGCCAACATGGTGAAACTCTGACTCTACAAAAAAATACAAAAATTAAACGGGCGTGGTGATGGCACCTGTAATCCCAGCTACTCGGGAGACAGACAGGAGAATCATGGGAACCTGGGAGGCGGAGGTTTCGGTGAGCAGAGATCACGCCATTGCACTCCAGCCTGGACAACAGAGCGAGACTCCAGCTAAAAATAAATAACCAATAAAATCAAATCTAATCTTTAGCAGTTTTGAAATGTAATAGTCACCATGCTGTCCAATAGATCTCTAAAACTTATTTCTCCTGTCTAACTGGAACTCTATCACGCTTAACATCTCCCTAGTGCCCATGCCACAGCCCCAGCCTCCAGTAACCACCATTCCACTCTCTACTTCTATGAATTAAACTTCCGAAAAAAGCATTGGTAGTTTTCATTGTTTGCTTGCTCGTTTGATAAATTGAACAGCCTTATCGAGGTACAATCTACATTCCATCAAATTCATCCATTTTAAAGTTTACCATTCAACAATGTTTAGTAAATTTACAGGCTGGGCGCTGTGGCTCGGCCTGTAATTCCAGCACTTTGGGGGACTGAAGCAAGAGGATCACTTGAGCCTGGAAGTTCAAGACCAACCTGGGCAACAGAGCAAGACCTTGCCTTAACAAAAAATAAAAAAATTATCCAGGTATGGGGGCACACACCTGTAATTCTAGCTACTCAGGAAGCTGAAACAGGAGGATCGCTTAATCTCAGGAGTTTGAGGCAGCAGTGAGCTGTGATCATGCCACTGCACTCCAGCCTGGATGACAGCGTGAGATCCTGTCTCTTTAAATTAAAAAGAAAAACAAGAGAGAGAGAGAGAGAGGCCGGCACTGTGGCTCACGCCTGTAATCCCAGCACTTTGGGAGGCTGAGGCAGGCGGATCACGAGGTCAGGAGATCAAGACCATCCTGGCTAACACCGTGAAACCCTGTCTCTACTAAAAATACAAAAAATTAGCCGGACGTGGTGGCAGGCGCCTGTAGTCCCAGCTACTCAGGAGGTTGAGGCAGGAGAATGGCGTGAACCCGGGAGGCAGAGCTTGCAGTGAGCTGAGATCGCATCACCGCACTACAGCCTGGGCAACAGAGTAGGACTCGGTCTCAAAAGGAAAAAAAAAAAACAACAAAATGCTTGTCCGCTTTCTCATCATGACTTCTCCATGTGCCCATGATTACCTCATCTCCATTCCTCTCCTGTCTCTAAAAAGAAAAAGAAAAAAGGACTCCAGAGTCTTAGCTTAGGGAAAGCAGGTGTGCAGTTGCTAGAGGATTTCCATGAAAAGGAAGCCAGCAACTCCAGTCTGCTTCCAGCCCTGGGTTGAATCAAGGCTTCCTTTGATATTCACTTGTATCTTCCACCGCACACAGGAAAGGCAGTTAGTGAGACCAGCTAACTGTCATTACTTTTAGTGGCAAAAACCACGATTACTTTTGCTGCAACCTAATACATGCAGATATGGAGGGATGTATGAGAAGCACGGTGCAGATCATCGAGATGGACATTTAAAAGTCAATTCCCTTTGTCCGGCCGGGCGCAGTGGCTCATGCCTGTCATCCCAGCACTTTGCCAAGATGGATGGATTCCCGGAGTCCAGGAGTTCGAGACCAGTCTGGGCAACATGGCAAAACCTCGTCTCTACAAAACATATAAATATTAGCCAGGCATAGTGGTATCCACCTGTAGTCCCAGCTACTTGGGAGCCTGAGGCAGGAGGATCACTTGAGCCTGGGAGTCTGAGGCTGCAGTGAGCCATGATTGTACCACTGCACTCCAGCCTAGGCAACAGAGCTAGATCCTGTCTCAAAAATAAAAAATTAAAATTAAAAAAAAAAATCACTTTGTAAGCTGGCCCTACATTCAGCGTGTCTTGTCTTTGTCTTTTCTTTTTCTTTTTTTTTGACAGAGTCTTGCTCTGTCACCCATGCTGGAGTACAGCAGTATGATCTTGTCTCACTGCAACCTCTGCCTCCCGGATTCAAGAAATTCTCTGCCTCAGCCTCCCGAGTAGCTGGGATTACAGGTGCCCACCACCACGCCCAGCTAATTTTTGTATTTTTAGTAGAGACGGGGTTTCACCATCTTGGCCAGGCTGGTCTTGAACTCCTGACTTCGTGATCCACCCGCCTCGGCCTCCCAAAGTGCTGGGATTACAGGCATGAGCCACCATGCCCAACCCAACGTGTCTTTTCTTTTCCAGTGATCTCCCATAAACCCTGCGCCTTCCCGTTTACCTATGGTGATGTCACCTACTACAGCTGCATCTCCACCCGCAGTGACTTTGACTGGTGTTCTCTTGACAAGGAATTCCAAGGCAGGTGGCGCTACTGCACAGGGCTAGGTGAGTACCCTGGGTTGGACTGTCCTAGAAGCCCAGGACCCAAGAAGTAGTGAATAGCAGCTGGCTACATGGTGTTTGGTGTCAGACTTGAGTTCAAATCCTGACTCCTTTACAAAATTTTAATTGCTTTGAAAATAGCTCAGGGTGGTCAACAAAGCATGATCTGGCCAGGAGCAATGACTCATACCTATAATCCCAGCACTTTGGGAGGCCGAGGTGGATGGATCATCTGAGGTCAGGAGTTCGAGACCAGCCTGGCCAACATGGTAAAACCCCATCTCTACTAAAAATACAAAAATTAGCCAGATGTGGTGGTGTACGCCTGTAATCCCAGCTACTCAGGAGGCTGAGGTAGGAGAATCTCTTGAACCCAAGGGGAGGAGGTCGCAGTGAGCCAAGATCATGCCACTGCACTCCAACCTGGGTGACAGAGTGAGACTCAGTCTCAAAAAAACATGAAAAGTAGCATGGTGTGCCGTTAGTTCAGCAATGATTACACTTAAAACTCTCAGGAAGGCTGGGCACAGTGACTCATACCTGTAATCCCAGCACTTAGGGAGGCCGAGGTGAGTGGACCACAAGGTCAAGAGATCGAGACCATCCTAGCCAACATGGTGAAACCCCATCTCTACTAAAAATACAAAAATTATCTGGGCGTGGTGGCGGGCACCTGTAGTCACAGCTACTCAGGAGGCTGAGGCAGGAGAATGACTTGAACCCGGGACTTGGCGGTTACAGTGAGCTGAGATCATGCCACTGCACTCCAGCCTGGTGACAGAGCAAGAATCTAACTCATAAAAACAAACAAACAAACAAAAACGTCTCTCAGGAAATGTGAGTTAGTACAACCACTGTGGAGAACAGTTTGGAGGTTCCTCAAAAAACTGAAAACAGAGCTGCCATACTGTTACCAGATGGAAGGTCTTGACAGTCAGTTGTCCAGGTTCTTGGCGTGTTGAACAAAGAATCAAACAAAACGCACAAACAAAGCAACAAAAGACAAACAAAGCAGCAAAAGAATGGAGTAATGACAGCACAGATTTATTGAAGCAAAAGTGCACTCCACAGAGTGGACACTGGCTTGAGCAACAGGCTCAAGCACACCAATTACAATGCTCTCTAGGGTTTTCATTAGGCTAGAAGAATTAGGTAACACCCCTAGGTACCCTTTAGAGGCCTCCAATTGGTTACGCCGTATGAAGGATTTGCCCATGACCAATCAGAGGCTGACGTGGAGATTTGGCCCACAGTCAATCAGAGGCTGGAATGGAGACTACTGTCTTGTTATCATAGGCGTGAGGATGTGACCTGGATGAAGCCTAATCTTGCCTAAAACTGGCTGCACCTGCTGTTCTTTTACTTATACCTTAACCCTTGGTTACCCTATATCCCTGTTCTACAGCCTCAATACGATCCAGCAGTCCCACTCCTGGGTATATTCCCAAAAGAAAGGAAACTCGTATGTCAAAGAGACATCTGCACTCCCATATTTACTGCAGCTCTGTTCTCAATAGCCAAGATTTGGAAGCAACCAAAGTGCCCGTCAACAGACGAATGGATAAAGAAAATTTGGTACATATGCACAATGGAGTACTATTCAGCCATAAAAAAGAATGAGATCCTGTCATTTGCAACAACATGAGTGGAGCTAGAGGTCATTTTGTCAAGTTAAATAAGTCAGGCACAGAAAGAGAAACTTCTCATATTCTCACTTATTTGTGGGAGCTAAAAATAAAAACAATTGAATTAATGGAGACAAAGAATAGAAGGATGGTCATGAGAGGCTGGGAAGAGGGAATGAGGTGGGGAAATGGAGAATGACTAATGGGTAAAATAAATAATTAGAAAGAATAAACAAGATGTAGGCCGGGCTCAGTGGCTCACACCTGTAATCCCAGCACTTTGGGAGGCCGAGGCAGGTGGATCACCTGAGGTTGGGAGTTCGAGACCAGCCTGGCCAACATAGTGCAACCCCATCTCTACTAAAAATACAAAAATTAGCTGGGCGTGGTGGTGGCACCTGTAATCCCAGCTACTCGGGAGGCTGAGGCAGGAGAATCACTTGAATATGGGAGGCAGAGGTTGCGGTGAGCCAAGATCGTGCCACTGCACTCCAGCCTGGGCAACAAGAGGGAAACGCTGTCTCCAAAAAATAAATAAATAAATAAATAAATAAATAAATAAATAAATAAATAAATAAGATCTAGTATTTGATGGCACAATAGGGTGACTATAGTCAATAACAATTTATACATTTTGAAATAACTAAAAGAGTATGATTGGATTGTCTGTAATACGAAGGATAAATGCTTGGGGTGATGGATACCCCATATACTTTGATGTGGTTGTTATGCATTGTATGTCTGTATTAAAGTATCCCATATACTCCATAAATATATATGCCTACTAAGTACCCACATAAATTAAAAATTAAACAATCCTTTAGAAACTGTCTGTGTTCATAATTCTCCCTCTGCCCCCATTTTCCCTGCAGATTCTCCTCAGTGTGTCTTCCCCTTCGTCTTCAGACAAAAAGCCGTTCACAATTGCACCAAGGAAGGCTATATTCTGAATCGGAGTTGGTGTTCATTGACAGAAAATTACGATAAAGATAGGAAATGGAAGCAATGTTCTCCTCAGAAGTAAGCCGGTTGGGAACGGTGGAATGGGGGATCCTACAGATCTTTTTTTTTTTTTTGGAGACGGAGTTTCGCTCTTGTTGCCCAGGCTGGAGTGCAATGGCGCGATCTTGGCTCACTGCAACATCCGCCTCCCGGGTTCAAGCGATTCTCCTGCCTCAGCCTCCCGAGTAGCTGGGATTACAGGAACGCGCCACCACACCCGGCTAATTTTGTATTTTTAGTACAGACGGGGTTTCTCCATATTGGTCAGGCTGGTCTAGGAACTCCCGACCTCAGGTGATCCACCCACCTTGGCCTCCCAAAGTGCTGGGATGACAAGCGTGAGCCACCGCACCTGGTCCCCTATAGATCTCTTAAAGTGAGAATCCTCTGGAGTAAGGGACTGGGGAGCTTGCAGCTTAGATTAACTGGTAATGGCTTAGACCAGCAGTTGGCAAACATTTCCTGTGAAGGGCCCAATAGTAAATACCTTAGGCTGAGCAGGTCATGTGGTCTCTGTCACAGATACTCAACTCCGCCATTGCAGCACAAAAGCAGCCACAGGCAACACAAAAGCAAATGAATGGGCCGGGTGTGGTGGCGTGAGGGCCGGGTGTGGTGGCTCACGCCTGTAATCTCAGCACTTTAGGAGGCCGAGGCAATAGGATTGCTTGAGGTCAGGAGTTTGAGACCAGCCTGGCCAACACGGTGAAACCCCATCTCTACTAAAAATACAAAAATTAGCTGGGCATGGTGGCACGTGCTTGTAGTCCCAGCTCCTCAGGAGGCTGAGGCAGGGGAATAGCTTGAACCCAGGAGGCAGAGGTTGCGCCACCGCACTCCAGCATGGGCAGCAGAGCAAGACTCTGTCTCAGAAAAAAAAAAAAGAAAAAAGAATGTGGCTGTGTTCCAATATATATATTTTTTTAAACAGGGACTCCCTCAGTCACCCAGGCTGGAGTGCAGTGGTGCAATCACAGCTCACTGCAGCCTCAACCTCCCAGGATCAAGCGATCCTCCCACCTCAGCCTCCCGAGTAGCTGGGACCACAGCCACATGCCACACACAGCTTGTGTTCATCGACAAAAACGTACAACAAAGATGGAAACATCTTTGGCTAATTTTTTCATGTTTAGAGACCGGGGTCTCGCGGTGTTGCCCAGGCTGGTCTTGAATTTCTGGGTTCAGGTGATCCTCCCTCCTCAGCCTTCCAAATTGCTGAGATTACAGGCATGAGCCACTGTACCTGGCCCAAATAATATTTATGTATCCTGAGATTTGGATCTCATATAATTTTTAGGTATGGAAAAGTATTAGTTGCCTTTTCTTTTTTTTTTTTTTTTTTTTTGGTCAACCATTTAAAAATGAGAAAATGATTAGCTCATGGCATGGGCTATACAAACACTGATAGTGGGTTGGGTTGAAGTTGGCCACTGGGCCCTACTAAAATGATCTCTGACCTCTGGCTTGGATGATCAGTCCTTGATCCCAGGCTGGTGAAGAAATAAGTTTAGTTTCCATTGAAAAGAGGCCAGGCACGATGGGTTCACACCAGCAATCCCAGCACTTTGGGAGGCCAATGTGAGAGGATCACGAGTCCAGAAGTTGGAGACCAGCCTGGGCAACATAGTGAAACCCCCATGTCTACAAAAACTAAAAAAAAAAAAAAAAAAAAAAAAGAAATTAGGCCAAGTACGGTGGCTCATGCCTGTAATATCAGCACTTTGGGAGGCCAAGGCAGTAGGATTACCTGAGGTCAGGAGTTCGAGACCAGCCTGGTCAACATGGCAAAACCCCATCTCTACTAAAAATACAAAAATGAGCCAGGCATGGTGGTGGGCGACTGTAATCCCAGCGACTCAGGAGACTGAGACAGGAGAATCGCTTGAACTCTGGAGGTGGAGGTTGCAGTGAGCTGAGATCACGTCATTGCACTCCAGCCTGGACGACAGAGCAAGACTCCATCTCGAAATAAATAAATAAATAAATATTAGCTGAGTGGGCATGATGGCACTGCACTCCAGCCTGGGTGACAGAGTAAGACCCTGTCTCAAAAAGAGAAAAGAACCCAGTCTCTACTAAAAATACAAAAAAAAAAAATTTGCCAGGCGTGGTGGTGGGCGCCTGTAGTCCCAGCTACTCGGAAGGCTGAGGCAGGAGAATGGCGTGAACCCGGGAGGCGGAACTTGCAGTGAGCCGAGATCGCACCACTGCACCCCAGCCTGGGCAACACAGCGAGACTCTGTCTCAAAAAAAAAAAAAGAAAGAAAGAAAGAAAAGAGAAGAAAAACACAAGAGAAAGAGAAAAGCAGAGTCAGGAGATATGGGAGAGTCCACGCATGTCTATGCTCTGTGTTATTTAGTGAGGATTTGATTGATCACAGTAAGCTCTGGCCACCATGCTGAGTAATGCCTGCCCAGCACCTCATTTAACCTTCACTATGACCTCAGGAAGGGACTATAGGAATCATCATGCCCATATGCTAATGAGGAAACAGGCTTGGGAGTCTTGGGTTCTGCCCAAACCCAGGTGTCAAATCCCGTCACCTTAATGAGATGTTATTCAAAGACCACTCACGAATAGGCACCATTAAATGAATCCCTACTATAAACTCTGTTATGAGCGTCTCACTCATTACCTCTCTCCCCATCAAAACTGCCATTTTATGTATATGGGAATGGACGTGGCAAGCCCGGATGCCTTAGCCCATTGGCCTCTAAGAGATGAAGCCTCAGACAGAACCCAGGGTCAGGGGTGGTTAAAGTCAGTATTCATCCTTCCCAACAGCAAGATGTGCTTGTCAGAACTCAGAGCCATTTATTCAGAAACATCTTTGGAGTCATCATTCATAACATCAGTGGCACAGAGACAAAGATTCCTGTGGGGCATTTCGGTTTCGGGGGTTTTTTAATTTTTATTTTATTTTTTTTGTTTTGAGACAAGTTTCGCTGTTATTGCCCCAGCTGCGGTGCAATGGCACGATCTCGGCTCACTGCAACCTCCCCCTCCCGGGTTCAAGCGATTTCCCTGCTTCAGCCTCCCGAGTTACTGGGATTATAGGTGTGCACCACCACGCCCGGCTAATTTTGTATTTTTAGTAGAGATGGGGGTTTTACCCTGTTGGCCAGGCTGGTCTTGAACTCCTGACCTCGGGTGATCCACCTGCCTCAGCCTCCCAAACTGCTGGGATTACAGGCATGAGCCAACATGCCTGGTCTCATGTTTGAAATTTTTTATTTCCATAGGTTATTGGGGAACAGGTGGTGTTTGGTTATATGAGTAAATTCTTTTTTTTTTTTTTTTTTTTTGAGATGGAGTCTCGCTCTATTGCCCAGGCTGGAGTGCAGTGGCCGGATCTCAGCTTACTGCAAGCTCCACCTCCCGGGTTCACGCCATTCTCCTGCCTCAGCCTCCCGAGTAGCTGGGACTACAAGCGCCTGCCACCTCGCCCGGCTAGTTTTTTGTATTTTTTAGTAGAGACGGGGTTTCACCGGGTTAGCCAGGATGGTCTCGATCTCCTGACCTTGTGATCCGCCCGTCTTGGCCTCCCAAAGTGCTGGGATTACAGGCTTGAGCCACCGTGCCCGGCCACATTCACTTTCTTGGTAAGATGCCAGGCAGCTGCTCCGGTTTCCACACCTGACTTTCCATTGACTGTTGCTCACCTGCAGCTTTTCATTACCTTAGAGTATCAGTGGTGCTTGGCCAGCGCCCTCCAGTCCCACTGTTCATACAGCTACTGTTTCCTCGGGACTTTTCTTTTTTTCTTTTTTATTTTTTTTAATTTATTTATTTATTTATTTATTTATTGAGACAGAGTTTCAGTCTTGTGGCCCAGGCCAGAGAGTAGAGGCACGATCTCAGCTCACTGCAACCTCCGCCTCCCGGGTTCAAGCGATTCTCCTGCCTCAGCCTCCTGAGTAGCTGGGACTACAGGCGCCCGCCACCACGCCCAGTTAATTTTGTAACTTTGCATTTTTAGTAGAGACGGGGTTTCACCATGTTGGTCAGGCTGGTCTCAAACTCCCGACCTCAGGTGATCCACCCGCCTCGGCCTCCCAAAGTGTTGGGATTACAGGTGTGAGCCACTGTGCCCGGCCTTCCTCGGGACTTTTCAAGTCCCTGAAACCTCGTACGAGCTAGCACATGCTCCTCCGTGAGAATAGCATCTCAATGCAACACCATATAAATATAGGGAGCAAAATGTTAGTAGTAGTCCCTCTCATATTCCTGTGTCTCTTCCTATTCCCTTCCACAGCAAAACACACACACACACACACACACACATACACACACACAACAATTTAGGGTGTGTTCTTCCAGGTTTATTGTATGCGAAAATCTGTGATGAAGAACCCGGAAACAACAGGAACTGCTCCATCTTGTTCACCTTCCTCCATCTTGTCCCTTTTTCCTCACCCAAATATAAGCATTTTAAGGCCTCTTAAAACATCAATGAATAATACCATCCACTTTGGTCTGAGACTTGATCTTCATTTAACATGGTTCATGGGGATTTTCTATGTGAATGTAGAAATATACCTTATTTTCATTACCTTGTTACATTTCATAATATGGATATACCATTCCCATATTAGAGCATGATTTGATTGTCAAATATTTCGACCCTACCAGGACCAAGGGAATACCTTCTATATTCATCTTTGAGGAAGTGTTTGAGTTGGTGGTTTCTTTTGTTTTACTCCCATTGGAATAGTTGAGTAATTACTGAGTCAAAAGATATGTACATGTCAATTGTACGTGTGTGTGTGTGTGTTAAATTTTAAGTTATTCCAAATTATCCTCCATAAACTTTAGGAGACTGCCTTATTTTTTTTTCTTTTTTTAACATTTGTTTTTAGAGACTGTCTCCCTCTGTCACCCAGGCTGGAGTGCAGTGGCATAATCACAGCTCACTGCAGCCTCGAACTCCTGGGCTCAAACAATCCTCCCACCTCAGCCTCTCAAAGCACTGGGATTACAGGAATGAGCCACTGTGCCCAGTTGGAAGACTGTCCTTTTTTTTTTTTTTTTTTTTTTTTTGAGACAGAATCTCACTCTGTCGCCCAGGCCAGAGTACAGTGGCGCAATCTCAGCTCACTGAGCCTCCGCCTCCTGGGTTCAAACGATTCTCCTGCCTTGACCTCCCAAGTAGCTGGGATTACAGGCGCATGCCATCACGCCCAGCTAATTTTTGGTATTTTTAATAGAGAAAGTATTTTGCCATGTTGGCCAGGCTGGTCTCAAACTCCTGACCTCAGATGATCCACCCGCCTCAGCCTCTCAAGGTGCTGGGATGACAGGCGTGAGCCACCACGCCCGGCCAAGACCGTCCATTTTTAACAACTTTCTTAACACTGAAAATAATCAATTTGCTACATTTTGTTTTTCAAATAATAGATAGCAATGTGGTCATTAAAATAATCTATGATCGTATATTTAATTTGAAAGGCAAAGAGAAATACTTACACCCTTCTGAGGCCACTAATCTTTCATGCTCCTTCGCCCTTCTCCCGACCCATTTACCCACACCATTTAGTTTTGGAGGGTAGACCAGACCTCCCATCAGGCAGGAATAACAGTTGTCTATCAGGGTAAGAGACTGTGATATGGATCCTTGCAGGGTGAAAAACTATGACACCCGTTCTAACGCCTCTTTTTCCTCCACAGTACTTAGATACCTCTTGGTGTTCTTGAAGAGACAGAAGTCACACATTCATCAGCTGCCTCTCAAAATATACTTCTATCCTTTCCAATGCTGACCATTCTGATCAATAAAGATTTGATCTCTTTTCCGTGTTGATGACTCCTTTTATTGATAAAAGGCACAGCCATGGCCAGGCGCAGTGGCTCACGCCTGTAATCCCAGCACTTTTGGAGACCAAGGCGGGTAGATCGCTTGAGGTCAGGAGTTCGAGACCAGCCTGGCCTACACAGCAAAACCCCATCTCTACTAAAAACATAAAAATTAGCCAGACATGGTTGTGCGTGCCTGTAGTCCCAGCTACTTGGGAGGCTAAGGCAGGAGAATCACTTGAACCTGGGAGGTGGAGATGGCAGTGGGCAGAAATTACACCACTGCACTCCAGCCTGGGCGACAGAGCAAGACTCCGTCTCAAAAAAAAAAAGCCAGGAATGGTGGGCTCACGCCGGTAATCCCAGCACTCTGGGAGGCTGAGGCGGGCAGATCACTTGAGGTCAGGAGTTCGAGACCAGCCTAGCTGGCCAACATAGTGAAACCCTGTCTCCACTAAAAGTACAAAAATTAGCCGGGCATGGTGGCTGGTACCTGTAATCCCAGCCACCCAGGAGGCTGAGGCAGGAGAATCACTTGAACCCAGGAGACGGATATTGTGGTGAGCCGAGATCATGCCACTGCACTCCAGCCTGGGCGACAGAGCAAGACTCCATCTCTAAATAAATAAATGCATACATACATACACACATACATACATGGAATTATACAACATATGACCCTTGGTTCCTGACTTCTTTCACTCACCATGTTTTTCAGATTCATCCACATTGTAGCTTGTACCAGTGCTTCATTCCATAGTCTGTCTGAGTAATATTCAATTATATGGATATACCACTGGTCTACCCACTAATATACATACTTTTGCGACAGGATCTCACTCTGTCACCCAAGCTGGAGTGCAATGGTGTGATCACGGTTCACTGCAACCTTTGCCTCCCAGGCTCAAGGAATTCTCCCACCTCAGCCTCCCCAGTAGCTGGAATGACAGACATGCACCACCACACCCAGCTAATGCTTTAATGTTTTATGTAGAGATGAAGTCACTATGTTGCCCAGGCTGGTCTAAAATTCATGGGCTCAAGAGATTCTCCTGCCTCAGCCTCCCAAAGTGCTGGGATAACAGGCGTGAGCCAACACGCCCAGCAACATTTTTTTAAGTGCGGATGTGATTTGTGAGAGCTAGATTCATTTTCAAAACTAAATATAACTACACCAGACTGGCTCAACTTTACGTAACCAAGTTGTGAGTTGTTTTCCAGTTGCCATGGGCCTGCGGGTTGAAAGTCCCATAACCTGGGCATCCCCAGATGAACCAACTATGTAACCTCAGGGGGAGCCTAAGTGCTAAGACCCAGGAGCAGACTGAGGAGTGGGGACTGAATTAAACATTGGAGGCTACAAAGGCAAGATCCAGGATCCAATCAGATCAAGCCCTGTTATCACCCCATCGCAGGATCCAATCAGATCATGCCTCCTGGCATCACCTCCTTGCAAGATCCAATCAAATCACGCCTCCTGGCATCACCTCACTGCAAGATCCAATCAGATCACACTTCATTACCCAATGCTTATAAAACCTGCCTCAGTCCCCCAGCTCCAGCATGCCCAGCTTCAGTAATGACTTACAGACGCTCAGACCACAGAACTGGAAGTTGACTCATGACATAGCATAGGAACCTGTCCCCCTGGGTATGGACTCATGACCCAGCTAGAGTCATGACTCTTCTAACTGATGACAGAGGTAAGGGAAGACTTTTCTGTTACCTGAAGTTTCAGGAGATCAAAGGACGATGCTTAAGCCTTGTTCCCTGCTATGAACCAAAAGCCCACATGCGGTAGGAGAGAATGAAGCGGATGCTTCTGAATCCAGTTATCTGGAATTCCACTTCCACCTTTCCCTTGGTTTGGTTATTTGAGACAACGAAGTTCCCGCATTGCTGATGTTAATTCTATGAGTCGCATCCATGAAGTCCCAGCCTTCTTGGAATCTTCCACACAAATAATACTTCATACGAGGAGGCAGATACCCATGTGTGAAGAAGAGTGTGAAAACTTCAAGAAGAATTAAAGTTTAGACCAGAATTTTGGATAAAGCATGACGGCTTATTAAGCAACTTTGGAGCTTTTTGGAGAAGCATGCTTTCTCTGAATGCTTGTTGTTAATCTATGCCAGGAAGTGATCTTGCTGGCCAGGCACGGTGGCTCACAGGAGGCCAAGGCAGGAGGATCACTTGAGCCCAGGATTTCTAGAGCAGCCTGGCCAACATGGTGAAACCCCATCTCTACTAAAAATACAAAAAGTAGCTGGGTGTGGTGGTGGGTGCCTGTAATCCCACCTACTTGGGAAGCCGAGGCAGGAGAATCGCTTGAACCCGGGAGGCGAAGGTTGCAGTGAGCCAAGATTGTGCCACTGCACTCCAGCCTGGGCAACAGAGCAAGACTCTATCTCCAAAAAAAAAGAAAGAGAGGACAAAAGGACTCTCTTTCCTAAGAGAGGAGGCTCCCACAAGTTAGGGTCGGGGGTTCAGAGCAAAGCCTTTGGACTCCCACCTCTACTTTCTGGTTGTGAGATTTCCTTTCCCTGAATCTCAGTTTCTTCATCTATAAAATGGGCATAAGCATGCCTGGCTCAGACAGAAATGGGCCCAGAGCTTCTAGCGGGGTAAGCTTGGGCCATGGTTTTCTGAAAGTCACATAACAAAACAATATGATGCTGCTAAGAGCTGGTACTTACATAACACTTAGTATGTAGTAGTCACTACGCAATGTTTTCGTTTTTGTTTCTTTAAGACACAGTCTCTGTCGCCCAGCCTGGAGTGCAGTGGCGCAATCTCAGCTCACTGCAACCTCTGCCTCCCAGGTTCGAGTTACTACAGGCACCCCCAATCACCCCCAGCTAATTTTGGTATTTTTTAGTAGAGATAGGGTTTCTCCATGTTGGCCAGGCTGGACAAGAACTCCTGATCTCAAGTAATCTGCCTGCCTCGGCCTCCCAAAGTGCTGGCATTACAGGCATGAGCCACTGCGCCCGGCCTACACATCTATGCTTATTCACTGGTGCAGTCATCCCTTGAGGGAGGTACTGTCATTATGACCATCATACAGAAAGGGAAACTGAGGCCCAGAGATGTTACGGGACCTGCCCATGGACACACAGCCAGTGACTGGCAGTACCAAGGTTCATTCTGTCTCTGGACATTTGTTCTTAGCCAGTCAAATGCCTGTCAGTCATAATGACAGCTAATTTTATTACATGCTCAATGTGTAACAGGTGCTATGCTAATCACTTCTGCCATTAACTCATTCAGGTTTTTATATTTAATTAATTTTTTTATATAATTTTTTTTTTTTTAATGGAGTCTCACTCTGTCGCCCAGGCTGGAGTGCAGTGGCACGATCTCGGCTCACTGCAAGCTTCACCTCCCGGGTCCACGCCATTCTCCTGCCTCAGCCTCCCAAGTAGCTGGGACTACAGGCGCCAGCCACCATGCCTGGCTAATTTTTTGTATTTTTAGTAGAGATGAGATTTCACCGTGTTAGCCAGGATGGTCTCGATCTCCTGACCTTGTGATCTGCCCACCTCAACCTCCCAAAGTGCTGGGATTACAGGTGTGAGCCACCGTGCCCGGCCCATAAAATTTTTTTAAAAATTGAGATGGGGTCTCACTCTGTTGCCCAGGCTGGTCTCCAACTCCTGGACTCAAGCAATCCTTCCACCTTGGCCTCCCAAAGTTCTGGGATTACAGGTGTGTAACCCACTGTGCCCAGCCAACTCATTCAGTTTTCACAGTTGATCTGGCTTTTCAGACTCATAATAACAATTTTTCTAGCCCTAACTGATGATAATCACAGCTAATGTAGAGTGAGTAATGTGAGCCAGGCACTGTGCTGGGTACTTCTCAAAGTATCCTTCTCATGAATATTCTTTGGTTTGATTTGGTTTGGTTTTGTTTTTTTTTTTTTTGAGACAGAGTCTCACTCCGTTGCCCTCAGCTCACTGCAACCTCTGCCTCCCAGGTTCACATGATTCTTCTGCCTCAGCCTCCTGAGTAGCTGAGACTACAGGTGCGCACCACCACGCCCAGCTGATTTCTGTATCTTTAGTAGAGATAGGGTTTCATCATGTTGGCCAGGTTGGTCTCGAACTCCTGACCTCAAGTGATTCACCTACCTCAGCCTCCCAAAGTGCTGGGATTATAGGCATGAGCCTCCATGCCCGGCCAGGAATATTCTTTACCCATCACAGTAAACTCAGGCACCAAGCAGTTAAGTCACAAAAGTGTCAGACGTTTTGGAAAACAGGTTAGCAATTCCTGAGAAAGTTAAACATAGTGTTACCCTATAAGCCAACAATCTCACTCCTAGGTAGATACCCTAGAGAAATGATACATCCACACAAAAACCTATACATGAAAGTTCATAGTGGTATTATTCATAGCCCCAAAGCAGAAACAACCCAGATGTCCAAACAAAGTGCGACCTTATCCATCCAACAGGGGATCACTCAGCCATGGAAAGGAATACAGCTCTGCCGCTTGCCACCTGATGGGTAAGCCTGGAAAACGTCACACTGAGTGAAGGAAGCCAGACACGAAAGCCACAGAGTGCATGATTCCACTCACATGCAATGTCCAGAACAGACACATCCACAGAGACAGAAAGGAGACGCGTGGCTGCCAGGCGCTGGGGGGACGGAGAGTGACTGCTGATGGGTGGGGAGTTTTTCGGGGCAGATGATGAAAATGTTCTGGAATTAATTAGATAGTGGTGATATCAGGCGCTGTGGCTCACACCTGTAATCCCAGCACGTTGGGAAGCCGAGGCAGGTGGATCACTTGAGTCCAGGAGTTAGAGACCAGCCTGGACAACAAGGTGAAACCCTTTCTCTACTAAAAATACAAAAATTAGCTGGGCGTGGTGGCATGTGCCTGTAGTCCCAGCTACTCAGGAGGCTGAGGTGGGAGAATCACTTGAACCTGGGAGGCAGAGGTTGCAGTGAGCTGAGATCGTGCCACTGCACTCCAGCCTGTGGTA